AAAGAGCAGTGGGAAAGGACGCTATGGGGTATCATGGTGAGGGGCACAGCATCGTAAACTAGTTAGAACAGAATCAGTCATTAATGACATAACAATTCCAGCTCTCTGGCTACTGCGGCAACATTTAAAACTATACCCATGTATTACTGCTGGCAGCATTTCTCTGAAACAGGGCATGCATTAGCAGGTGTTGAGCCTGAGGGAAAGGGATGCCTGAGTTTTGCTGATGCCCTGGCATATTATTGTACAGATCTCCTGAGTCCAATGCCTTTACCCCAAGACCAACCTTCTTCGCAGATGTTATGGTGTTTGGGATAAGGACTCCAGTAAATCAGGAATAAACCCGCTACAGTCATTGGTGTTACATGTGCGGCGATATAGGAAGACGGGAACACACATCAGGGCCCAAATGGGGCTCTGGGTGATCACTACTTCCCACCACCCAACACAGATGTAATGAGGTTAAGTGGTGTCCGTATAAAGAAATTGAGGGTAGGTCTACACATACCGCCGGACCCGGAGGTAAGCATTCAATCTTCTGGGATCGATTTATCGCGTCTTGTCTAGACGTGATAAATCGATCCCAGAAGTGCTCGCCGTCGATGCCGGTACTCCAGCTCGGTGAGAGGAGTACGCGGCATCGACGGGGGAGCCTGCCTACCGCGTCTGGACCCACGGTAAGTTCGAACTAAGGTACTTCGAATTCAGCTACGTTATTAACGTAGCTGAATTTGCGTACCTTAGTTCTAAATGGGGGGTTAGTGTGGACCATGCCTAAAACTACTGATTATTCCTTAAGATAGGCTTTTAATGACTTATGGCTATAAATGCAACACAAACAGAATAGGAAAAGAAAAATTAAAGACCAGCATTGAATAAGGATTAATATAAATGACAAATTATATCGCAAACAAGCACAAGTACAAGTAAACTTTTACTACTATTTTTAATACTGCAGCATTAATATAACCTGAGATCAAATTATCCCAACACTACCATTCTTAATACTATAGTGTCAGCACAACTTGAGATCAAAACAGCTCGAGCAACCCAGACTTCTTCATTCCGTTACATTATTTTGCATGCAACCAGACTTTTTCTTTAAAACCTTACCCTGCCAAGAATATGTTACCCTTTAGTCGACCGCTCTTTGCATTGTCCAGGTGCAGATAGTCGGTGCAGTTCAGGTTTCCTTGGTTTAGGGGGTGCGGGTCAGACCGATCAAAGAGAATAACTTCTTAGTCCAAAACACACACACACACACACACACACACACCCTCCTGAGGTTCTACACATTTAATCTCATCTGCCCGCCGTGCTTTGAAGCAGGTCAACCAATCAGGTTAGGCCAAATTTAGTGTTATCACTTTGTCTGTATAATTCATGCTTA